TGCACAATGTAACTTTAAGTACTAGGAGAGGATAAAGGGTAAGAGCTCATCCTTCGTCGCCTTGCTTACCGCTCAAATTGTTTTTACATCATCTGCGGCTTTATAAATTCCAGGAGGGTCTAGAAATAGCCAATCCTCTGACACGAATTTTATCTACGTGGCTAGCCCAAGCAGCTTCATACACATTTTTATCCTACAAGAAAACATCCACGCAACCCGCGCAGTCACATTATCCGCGTGAGGACTGGATGCCATATCTAAAAATAACTTGAGCGGGATCACCTTAAGAATAAGGTCTACATGGGGGATTACTTCTGCTACCCTTCATCTTCTCTTGTAAGTACTTTATCTCTGTTTTCATTGTTTAATTTAAGATAGATACCTCCACAAGCCGTTCTTTTGATTGACCTCACCACACGATGAAGGCCTCTAAAGCCGGCCTTGAACACGTATCTTGGGTTTGCTGCCATTTGGTTAAGCTGAGCTAGTCTGAATTTTCTGCCGATTCCAAGCGCCAAAATACGCACGCCCGCATTTCGGAGGTCACGTGAGGATCTCCCGAGCGAGTCTTGTGAAATACCATCTGTCATGACGAGCAGTACCTGGAGAACAAATGACAAAATGTGAAATGGAGTTGGGCTAACGCTATCTCAGTGATAAAGGCAGTACGTTACCTGGCAATTACACATTGATAGTTAACTATCAAAGTTGGTAAGCACCGTTTTGGTAAGCACCGTTTTACCATATCTAGAACATCGACTGTGATCATTGACGAATTGGCTATGACCTATGAAAACCACGAGCGCGCGCTTCGTAGGACTGGCCTCCTATCGATCGATATCAGATGCCCACTTAGTCAGCCAGATTTCAAGGGTAGCCAGCGAAATTGTCAGAAAACATTTATGCAATTTTCTATTTCATTTATAATCTATTCTTACACTATATAAAGAGACAGAGACACAGCATGTATTTCTTAGATAAAAAGGACGCACTGAAACATCATAATCGCTTGCTGTACCACCTCTAAGAAAGTCAAAACGCGTTATAATGAATTTCAGTATGGCCTAGATTGGAAAAAAGGATAGACACTGATAGAGCCACAAGACGTCAAGTAAAGAAGGCAAAAAGGTGCAATTTAAATAGTCATTAATATATTGAAGAGAACAGGGTAGAACCTTCCATCCCTACACTCACCTTTCGCCGATTGGTTCTCCTTGTAAACAACTGATATTTGACAAATCTCATCGCTCGTCCAATTTTCGTACCACCTCGGGGATATCTAATGCGACTAATAGCACGTAACAAGCTTTGCTTGTTTCTGTATCTCCTGAAGTTAGCGATGAGCCATGCACGAGTTGAAAATAGAACGATACCAACACGAGTTTGTGTGGGGGAGATACTGAACGAAGCCACCAATCGTTTGACGAAGTTGAGACAGCGCCGGAAGTTCCCTCGGCCGTAAGCATTGATACTGCCAGAGCCGTCAATCAAGAAGGCCAAATCGAGACGTTTGCGGCAGACTAAAAGAAAAGAAAAACATTTGTTTGGGCAACTCGTCAATACAAATTTAATTTATTTCGTGTCATTGGCTAACCAGGAAAGCGAAGATTAATGTAATGTACTTGAGTAGAACCTGTAAATGATAATTACCAATGACTTAAGCCTAAACATGCCTGTGTATATGAAGGCAAAGACATTATTTAACAAGAAAAAGAACTAAACAAGAATATACAGAATATTACTTTTGGAAAGTGTCCAACGTTTCTTTCTCTCAGGCACACAGCAATGGAGAATAACGCAAACCAATCAGAAAGCTGGTATGGTATGAAAGCAGGTTACAATTTAAACAACTAACTCTTGAACCTTTCAAATGTTCCTCTTAAAAGCAAAATTCTCACTGTGACCAAATCAAGTATAATGAACCTGTACTTAAACCAGGGACACTAGAAGAGTAGCATATCGCTAACCACTAACTCTTAACGTCCTCAAGCTGAAAACCTAGCTGTTATCTGTCGAAAATTATAATGAAATTCAACTGTAAACATGTACCTGCAGATGGCGTAGTGCGCGCGCAAGAAAAGTGCGAGATACGCAAATGTCTTACTTACTGGGGAGGTGACAGGAAAAAATG